CTGAGATAATAAAATCTACAAAGCTAATTTTTATGTCACATTAAGAAATTAAGAGACATTTTACGGAATGATCTAAACCAAGCCCTTATTTATTTATGAAGTTCTAAGATCGTTAGAATCTGAGAAAGGAGTTAGGGGAAACAAAACTTTTATTTGTGAAACTCCAGTCTGTTAGAAAGGTCAAAGTAATAACTTGGAAAGAATTTGGATGGCATGATATACAAAAGCATAGTTCCCTCTATGCGATGCCAAGTATACACTGCAAATCATCTGTGAAAGCAACAAAGAGGCTTTAGAATGCAAGCACTCTTGTTCATCAATGTGGGTAAATCATATCCAAATCAATAATCTCCTTTTCCCAAGTGCTTCAAAAAAGAGACTTGCTTAATCATGTGACGTTTCACTCAGTGCTTAACCTCATCTACAGCATCTGTTCAGGGGCGGAATCTGACATGATTCTTGTTCAATACACAGAAAAGTGACACCATCTTCATTACATGGGTTCTCGTTAGCTTATGCACATTTCCAACACTATATCACTTTCTAAACCTTTCTTCAGGTTTAGGAAATATTTCCAAAAGAGGATCTCTTTTCACTTTCATCAGAAAATTAGACCCTCTCAGAGTTAGTTCTCTCTCCTTCCCTCACCCCCCCTCCCTTTTATTTATTTCTCTTCCATAGCTGGGGCTATGAGTATTTGTGATCTTTCTTTTTTTTGCCTAAGAAAATAGTGGCCTGATTTTATTTTAATAAACTTAATAAGCTGCAGTTCATTTACTAGCAGCCTCTTCAGCTCTTCTAAACAAATATTTCTTTTATTGTAAAATCAGCACATGCTCAGGGAAAAGTGATCAACAAGGATGTGGAACTCAAATGTCTCATAGAAACCCAATACTGTGTACAATTAATATGCTTTAGTAATTATAATAATCATCTGAAGAAGTAAGGAGATTAACTATACAGTGATTTTGATATATGGCATGTCTTAACCAAAATTTATCCTCAACTCCTGTGGTCTTGCAAACCATGGTCTTGCTTCCATGATAACTTCCTTCTGTATAACACAAATTTCTGCCACCCTTTAAAGTCAGTAAAATGCCTCATCTCAGCTTCTCATAATCATCCCAGTGTAGTCCAGCCACCTATATACCACGGCACATTTCTTAGTTATTTGAACTCTTCCCATCTTTACTTTTAAGTTGACACTTGTCTGCACTACCCAAAGAGGCTATACATTCCTAAGGATCAGGAGCCAGGCTGTACATATATACCATAACACATAGTTCAGTACCCCAGTTCTCTATTCACTACTCCTTTCCAATACCACATAGGCACTACTGCAATATCATCGAAGTCATTTTGAATTCTGAAGTTCCCAATGAGCCAGATCAGTTGCCTTGTAGTTAAGGACTAATTTTTAATCCCAAATAAGTAGAAAAACATAAAAGTATTGAGTTAAAAAGGAAATTCGTGTGGATTCTATATCTCTGCAGATATTTATCTGTAGTGATGGCTTATATTGAGCAAGTTGGTCAAATGACATTGTGCATTTAAAAGAACATTGAGCTACTCATATATATCATTAACCAGATAACACTACATCAGATAGAGGGTGAGTTTTAAAACCTAGTAGGGGCTGAAATATTTTTTTCTGGATTGAATAATTATATGTTCAATATAAAAAACTATCTTTTCCCACAAATAATTTCCTTAAAAGTATATCATAAACCCACAGAATTTTAGGATGGAGATATTTTGGGCTACATCTTTCAGATCATCTATCATCATTTTACAGATGAGAAAAACTGACACCTGAAAGATCTAAGCAATTTACTTTGAGTTACTTAATCATCGATGATGGAGAGAGGACCAAAATACCAGTGCTTAGACCCTAGTTTAAGCTGTTTCTGTTACACTTCGCTGACTCCTTTACAGCACAATATATGTATGTATGTATGTATTTTTAAATTATAATTTTAATACATACAAAATGAATAAAAAACACTGAACACCACTAATAATGACACATGCACATGAAGATAAACAAGTGCATGCACAAGGCATTCCATGATAGACGCTCCAAATTTGCACAAGCGCACAACACAACCGCTCTTCACTCACGAAGTTTAAAGATGATTGTGTTCCAAGAGTTTATAAAATAGGAGCATTTCTTACCTGGCAGCTGTATGAGGGGTTGATAAAAGACATTAAAAACTTGAGCTATGATTAGACATCAGATTACTCTAGCACTGAAGGGTTGCTTCTACCTGGGTTTCAGGAGTATAGTACTTTTAAATAAAAAAGTAGATCAGAGACTTGAGAGGGATAACCCAACACACATCACCTTCACCCATGTTGTAACATTAGGTTGACCACTGGCAATTACAACCCAAATCTTCCTATTGGCCAGTTAGGGCCCTACCTTTTCTTATCAGGCCAGAAATCTCTATAATTATAGTTACTTCCTCATATTAGAAAGCTCAGGAGAGAAAATAATCTCTGGAAGCCCTCCCAACTCCCAAATTCAGGGTACCAGAAAGGGCAGTATCTGTTCCCATGTTTTTAGTATAAAAGAGGATAACTTTGAGGGTAAAGGGAACATGATCTACACATAATAGAGAAACTTGAGGAGAGAGAAACCCTCTCTTCCAACTGTCCCTCAGTTCTCCAGTGCCAGTGTTTACACATGGCTACTTGACTAGGGATGCATGCTTTGAGAAACATGAATGATCCTCTTTTTACGTATTTCAAAAGACCCATGATCCACACCAAGATGTGTTCATCTCACCCCACGATAAGTAACAGGGCTTAGCATTCTAATGGTCAAATCCTTTTTAAAAACATTCGCCCTGTTGCTTGGATATCCATTAAAGATTTAACCACTTCCAAGAATCCCTTTGCCCTTTCACACAAACCTTACATCTTGCAAAGTTTTAATAGGTACCCGTGAGAGAACAAGCAAAGAAGCAGAGAAAAAATGCTCACTCCAGTTGATCTTTTCTTTCTAAACATGAAGGCATATAAAAGGACTAATCAGTAATAGAAACCCAAATGAGAACAAAGAACAGCAGCTTTTCACACCTCTTAACTAGCAAGAGACTACAAAACAGCATCAGTATTATGGCATGCAACAAAAACAACAAAATGGTAGCAAATTTGGTTGTGACACCCTGAAATGACTGTGCTTTTAACTTGTAGGACAAATGATTTTATTGTAATGAACATTTTAGTCATGGCATGAGAAAGCTTTCATTTTTTTAAAACTGTTTGTCGATAATCCTCATGTATCAGTTTCCTCAGATTTTTAACCCCTAGAATTTGAGAAGAGTTTAATATTTCTCAACAAACATCAATAAAGGATATTCTATGACCCTGAAATCTTCCAAATGAAGAAGAGTACCTCCTCCTGACTGGCTCTCTGTAGAGAAGCTCACAAAGGGACTGCAGAATGGATTCATTCCACATATGCAATGGCTTTCCCTCCCAATTGGAAGAAAGACTGAGAAATAAAGGAATTGGAAATGTAATTTTCGCTTCTCAAGTTTAGATCATGATTGAAGAGTGAGTCTGTGTTGTGGAATTCCTAACCCATGTAAAGAATAGATAAATCGGTCCTTTGCCCAAGTTGATTAATGGTAAGTAAAGAGGGCTTAAGTGGACACATGGTCACTTCCCTGAAACCTGTCCCCGCCCCCCTGCCCGCCACTTCCTTCAGAAATAATGAGTACAGAGACATTAGATTAGAAAGCAAAGTTACTCACCATGGAAGAATCACTGCTTCCACTCCCGATCGGAGCTCCCTCAGCACAGGTTGGGAGGTGGGTAGAAAGTTGACTAGCCCTGCCCCCATCTATGACATCACAATCTACCTCATAAAAGGTAGTGAAAGTGCTCTGAACTCCTGTCTGATTTCCGAGAGATACAGAAAAGAGAGAGTGAGAGAGAGAGCAAAAGAAAAACAAAACAAAACAAAACAAAAAAAACGTACCTTACTTGGGAAGGGATTAGGGAGGTGGAAGAGGGAATGGTAACTACTTGGGAGAAAGAGGCATATGAAAGAATTAGGTGCTGAAAGAGAAACAACGTGCGGGCCTTCATGACATCAGGCAGCACGGTCATTTGGATTCCTCTTTGGTTCTTGAATGAATCAAAAGGGACCATCTGGGAGGAGGATGAAGAAGCACCCTGCCTTGTCAGGGAAAATTATAATGGGGCTCCTCTGTGGGGGGATGAATCCCCTATTTAAAGCATCCAGCATCATCACCAAGAGAGAAAGCAAGGGCTGCAGCTCTTAAAGCCTGGAACAGTCAGTGGGAATCCCAGATGCCTTTCTTGAAGGTTCCATGGCCCTGCTATGTGACCTTCGTCAAGCTCCCAGCCTTGGCATGTCCAGCCAGTAATGAGTGGTACTAAAGGGATACTTACCACTTTCAATGGGATGCATTCATTGTTGTTAGAACTGCAACTCTTTCTAATTTCCTTTATGCCCCTCAGAAGGGGTTGCATGAAGTGTATAATTTGAAAGATAAGCCAATAACCAATGCCTGTTCCTACCTTTAGAATCCTTTCTTAGAGCTTCCTGGATACAAAGTGTTACTAACAATCTTGAAAGTTTTTCTGTGAGTACCAAACAGACTTTATATCTAAAAAGAGTGGTTCAAGCCCACCTTCAAAACCATTAAAAAAAAAAATCAAATGGCAAGATTTCTACAGTCATCAGATTCCCTGCTCCTTCACTCTCAGAGGCAGAGCTCAAGTGACCCGTGATGCTAACTGACCAAATGTGTTTTGCATAAGCATTTCTGTTATAATCCTACAGTCATAGCTTTGTTTAATGTCTGAGTCCAAGTCTTATGGGAATCAGACAAGATATGAGAATGATATATAGAGTATTATGGTAATATACATATATATTTTTTAAAAAAAATTTCGATTTAGAAGTTTAAAAATAGAAAATACTAAAAGTTGTCAAGAGGGCATTATGGCAAAACCTAAGTAATGGGTGATGCTGAAGAACAGGCAGGTCCTGAAACAATTCACATAGGAGCCAGACCTTCATCTGCCCTAGTGGAATATAGGAAAAGTGAAATCATCTCTTCCCACAGTATTTTAGCAAAAGCAAATATGCAAAAAAATAGCTTACAGTTTGTGGCATCACAAGTGGGTAAATCCCAAAGCCTGTTTGCATATGCAGATAACTCCAAATTTAGGAATTTTTTTATTTTTTGAGCCAATTTAGTCGTATTTCTAATCCTGTCATTCTTATTAAATACATAAGTGTGTTATAATAATCATAATTTAAAATTAAGCAAAATTGACAGATTAGGAGCAGTTTGAAAGACAGAAGTTACTAAATTCAAACTGATTTTGGATTCAGCAACAACACTCCCATCTTATGCTTCAAATAAATGTTAAAAAGACATTTAAAGAATGTCTTTAAAGAAATAAAGATAATGCAAAATAAAAAATATTAACTATATAAAAAGGGTATATTTTTCTAGTTGATTTTCTTCTTTACTTATTAGAGAAAGAAAAGCTACTCTATACACATATTTCCATCACTCTATTATTCTCTGTCCATTTTTACAATTCTAAGTCTAAATTAAAATTCTACATATAAAAACATATATTTATCAGATTTTGTAATTAATGGCCCTGTGAAGTTTTGTTCTCTCTCAATTTTTACATATTGAATCATTGACTAGTTGGCTTATCCTTATCCTTGATCATTTATAATTTACAATAATCCTATTTAATTTTAAAAAATAGGACATTTTCTATTGTAAGGAATATGCTGATCATTAACCATTATTTATCAGTATCAAAAATGATTATTATACTTACTTCACTCATCTCACATCTTATAAAAAATTTTAAAGACCAAGATGAATGGTGCAATTGTCATTCTTCCAATAAATATTTTTAAGAGTTTTACTACACCCCAAAGATGTTATACTTCTCCCAACATTAAGATATTAAAATAAAAATGGAGTCAAACACTGTTTAAATATGAAATAGGACAATCTAAACTTAGGTCACAACCTACTAATATTTCTTATTAATTATTGTCAGAAATGTAGCATGACTTCAGGAACCCAATGCAAAACTAGGCTGCATCAAAAGGATGCAGAGTTGTAAACTGTGCTGACCTTTTAAGCGAATTTAGTAATGATCGACTGTGATAATGCCTTTGGTAATGAATATTACTTAAGATGAGATAACTTGCTCTGACACAGGATGCAATGCCAGGATAAGATAATGTTCAATTCTCTTTGGATCTAACTTGTTGACATTGTTCAAAAACCTAAGTCTTTCCAAAACTGAGGATTTAATGCAGAATTCCCATGATATCACATAATCAATGAGTTGTTCTTCAAGATGAAAGATGAAGTGTTTATAATATTTCAGAATATTATAAGAATCCCCATAATTAGTCACAATTATAATTTTAGTCGATGTAAGTCTGGTTTAAAAATTTTGTTTGGGGTAATCAAGTCAATTTAACTTCTTTGGTACAGAGGATGAAGAAGAAAGAAGTGGAATAATTTGTAGGTTCCAAAAGAATAATTTGCAGATGCATTTATGAAGTAATTCATCATGGAAGGACTGATAAGGCAACTGTCATCCAACTGGACTCACATTATTACTCTTGAAGAGAAATACCTCAGTAAGACAGCCTCTAATAAATGTTTATAGCAGCAGATTTGAAGCCAGAGTTTCCAGATAAAGAGATCATGTTTTGATTTTATTTGATCATGGTGTCTCACATATAGAAATTTGGTCGAAAGGAATAAGAGGTTCTTAGAAGATGATGTGGACTGGAATCACTCCAGGATCTCTCTCAGTCTCAAAATAGATTTGCCAAAGAAGATGGATGAAAGAGGTCAAGGGACAGGTTGTAAAGATTTGACAAAACATCTAGCCAGAGTTCCAGTCAAGTTCATTATCAGCAATGCATCAGCACAGATGAGGGTATTCAGAGAAAAGTAATAAAACAAGATATAGTATTGTTGATGAAAGGAAAGATTAAAAGTCCAAATTAAGAAAGCTTGCCTTCAAGAAAATAAGATTAGAATGAAGTATTTGAAATATATGTATTGCCTAGAAGGAAAATGGCTGTTGTAAGATGATGTGTTCTAAAGTAATAAAAGAAATCTGAACTAAGGAAACTCCACATTGCCCATCCAGAAGCCTTTCCTATTTATAAGATACATGGACCATAATGTGGCACATATTTCTCTTCTAAGGGCTGTGATCAAAGCCATATTTTATAAATCATTTAAATTAAGCTAGAGAAAGCACTCGACAAAATAATCTGTAGAGACAGAATGTAGACAACAGTAAGTTAAACACACTTTTATTTCTAGAATGTAGTAAACCAAGAAAACAGTAAATACACGGAGATAGCCATCAACAGATATTTTCTATTCCTACAAAGAATGCTGAGTATTTCAGTAAGCTGAGAAACTAAATAAAAAAAAAACAACACTGAATACACAGTCTAATAAAAGCACAAGGAACAAAATGTTTATCCTTTTCATGGAAATTATTTGGTATTAGAGATATGGAAAATTTTGAATGCCCTGATTCAACGAATATTTGTCATTATGCCTTTTACATAGTAGGGATGCCATAGAACTATTGAGTTCAGCGAATTAGGAAAAAAAAAAAAACTTATGTGAACAAGAAATAAATGCAACTCTTTGAAGTCCTGATTGTTAGTCATCAGAAACTGGAATTATCTTGATACATATTCAGTATGAAATACTGTCTCATCTATGGGCTTCATTCATTTCACTAATAGCAGTATAAATAATCTTCACAATCTGAGAAGGCTTTGCTGTAAAATGAGAAGTCTCTGCATAAGAACTTTCCACTGTATATCTTGACAACTTGTGGAAACACTGGTCTTTCATAGAAAAATATTGATGTCAAAATTTTATCACATCAAACACTGAAGAAAATCCAGTTTTGCTATGGGACTTTTTTATTTCCTTTATTTATTTTATTTTATTTTATTTTATTTTATTTTATTTTATTTTATTTTATTTTATTTTATTTTAGGTGCTAGGGATTGAACCCAGGGCCTTGTGCATGTGAGGCAAGCACTCTACCAACTGAGCTATATCCCCAGCCCTTCTTTATTCTTCTTGACCATCTTAGGCAATGAAAAGATGTACAAAAAAAAATAATAAAATCCTTAGATAATCTTATAATAAGCATATTGGTTAATATCCATCTTCTCCTTTTTAACCTATTTAATATTTATATCAACATGTTCACATTTTCACTTTTTTCTTCAACACCCTTTAACCCAGAAATTCTTGAGGCAGGTCCAAGTAGGAATAAGAAAAATATCACAAATAATCTATTCTTGACTAAAATGACAAATCCTAGTATGCACAGGAAAATCAGAAATCAGGGACTAAATATAAAGATACTATTTCCAAATACAGGTATTCACTCGACATATTGGCCTTATGATCATTTGGTTCAAGTTTAGGGAACAGGTATGTCTGCATTTGCTCTTACATATCCAAAACTGACTAAAAGTTGTGTGGGGGTAGGATGGGGGTGGAAGTTTCCTAAAACACTTCTCTGAGTATTATTTTAAATAATATTTTTAATTTTTAAAATAATTCTTTAAATTGAGAACAATTAAAAATAAAATCAGATAATTATCACATATGGATAAGTAAGATTAGAATATATCTTATGTGGATACTTCACAAACCAGTACTTCACAAACTTATCCATAGATCTGTCTAGGTTTCATGAATATCCCAAAATAATTGCAATTATCTTCTCTCATATGGGTACATCCCAGGTGTATAATTTCCAAGTTTCTGTAAAATATTACTGTTAATTGGCTGCCATATAATCCTCAGAATATTAACTGAAATCT